GGGGAAGGAGCGGAGCTGTGGTCTCGTCATTTCGCCACAGTCCGCTCAGGGAGCGCGGTCAGGTTCCCCGCGAAGCAGCGTTTTTTTGTCTTAAAATACCCCCTTATTTGGAGAGGTTCCCCCACCCTCCGTTTGTGATGGCCTAGGGGGAGATGTGGATTTACAGCCCAGTCTGCCATTTCCTCTCTGGGTGTGATTTCCAAAATGGACCCTGGGCTGACAGGTTTCTCCTGGTGCCCGCAGGGTCCACCCGTTCTCCACTCTCAAGCACTCCCCACCTTCCCAGCGCCCAAGACCAACACCATCTATCTGACTCACTTTGGCGGCGTCAAAAGGACCCAGATTAGAGATTTGTTGGGTGGACAGTTGGAACATGGATAGCAATGGCAGGGAGGAGTTAAACACCCAACACTTTTCATTACCCTCTGCGGGCTGAAAGAATGGAGGACAGAGATGGAATGCAAATTTGTGAAATTAAAGCCACTAGGTGAAATGAAGACCTACCCCTAAGGGAAAAATGAGAATTTTGTGGAAATTGTGTTTGATCAGGGTTACCTGTTTCCCCATAGAAATTAATATAAAAACGGCATCTCTTTTTCATTAGGTGGATGTGTCCATAAATTATCAATTCGGCCTAAATTATCCCCCCAAAATGAAATAACTCTTGGGAAGTCCTGTCGTTCCCAGACTGGCCTCTTGCATCTGTGATATGGTCAAGCTGGGAGGTAGGCTGAAGAATGTTTTTTCTACCCCACCTCTTGGGGTCTGTGTGGGTCCTCACAGCCCCTTGCACCAGGGGTTGAAGTCAAAAGTGTACACACGGAACATTAATTAATACCAGGTTGCTTCATCCCAGACTTAAGCTGTATTCATGGGAAGTGATTTGGATAAAGTGTGCAGTGTGAAAAGGCTGATGTAGCCATTTTCTAGAAGGTTCATGGCTCTGTCTTGCTGTGTTGTCATGAAAAATGTACATGCCCCAAGTGGAAGTGCTGGAGACCTGCTAAGTGGGGGTTCATTCCATGGTCAGGTAGAGGTTGCTTTCACAGGTCAAACTGTGACTGTTGCCTCTTTACTCTTTGCTTAGACCCTTTCAGCTCTGATCACCAGTGGAGCCCCAAACCTTGGCTTGCTCTTGTTCTCCAAGGCCATGTCACCTCATCTCCCCAACCTACAAAGAAGGGAGGGGAGGGGCAGTAGAACTTTGGTTTGTTTCCTTCATGGTCCACTTCAGCCCTGATACCCTGGGCTCTTTGAGAGACCTGAGTAAAAGAGGCAATATCACCCCAGGATTGTTCATCTTCTATTAAAAGAAAAAAAAAAAAAGGTTGAGGAAAAGTGCCCTTGATCTCTCCTTGTGTCTGGACCCTGGTCTTCCTGGGGCTGTGTCAGTGTCTGCATAAGTCTGGTGCAACCACACGCTCTCCCAATCCCAATCCTACCCCTCTTCCCAGCCCAGCCTGCTGCCCTCCTGATTCCACTCCCCTGGCAAGGGACCTGCTTGCAGACATGTGCTGCTTTCTTGCTGCAGATGCAGGGGTGGCCATTAGCATGCAGTTACCTGCTGGCTTGCCTCTGGCTAGTGCTGCTGGCCTGGGGATAGGGGGCTGGAGAGAGGGGAGAAAGGAGGACATGGCTTCCTGTTTCTTTCCACACACTCTGGCCAAATGCTGCCTCCTAGCCATAAGGAGGGAGGACAGGGCTCAACCCTGTCTTGAAGATTTGCTCAGGGTTCAGGTAGCAGTGCTATCCAAAGGGGCCTTCGGAGTCAGTCTCAGGTTTATCACTGTAAAATACTCATTATATATTTTATGTATCTTGGAGAAGCTTCTGCCAAAGTGTCTAGAAAAGTACCTTTTTCCAATACTAGCTGGAGCATATCTCAAATATGGCCTCAAGGAAAAGGATTCAGAACGAGAATATGTGACAGGGTGATGGGAAAGGTTGGGATTAGAGTCTCCAATAGGGTCAGAGTGTTGCACACTGAGGACATCTTTCCTTGGCTCCCAGTTTCGCTGAGTCCAACAGGTCTCTCCTGAGCTCCCTGAGGCAGAAGTCATGTCCTGCACTTCTTGGTCCCCTCAGCATTTCTGGGGGTGGGGCCCAAGAAAGGTCACCATCAGTACCACCAGAGGAATGGTCACCTGGGCAGTCCCAGGTGGGCTGGTCCCTCTACACACTCCTGTCTGAGTTACTGTGTTGAACACACCTGCATGTGAAGCACTCTGCTGGTAAAAGAGCTTGCAGTGCAGTGGAGGAGCCTGGGAATCTTCACCCCAGTGTGGAGATGTGATAACTGTGTTCTCAGGCTGCTGGGAGAGGCGTTCCAGGAAGGCTTCCTGGAATTTATCTTGAGGTGACATCTATAGACGGATAGGTAGAAAGGGCAGTGGTAACTGCCCACATGTGCAAAGGTCCTGAGGCATGATGGGGGGAACTGCAGGAGTTAAAGCGGCCAGCCGCAGTACAGATGTGAATATCTGGACTCCACTCTGAATCTATTCTATGGTCACAATAACTGTAAAAGAGTAATAGAAGCCAGTCCAGCCTGGGCAGTGGCTCCTTGGTATGCCCCATGTTGAAATATAGCCTTTGTTTCTGGACTTCTAGGTCTATATGAACTCCATCTCACTACTGATGGCCCTGCCACCACGGGGACAGAGGTGTCCATCACAGCTAGCCTGGTGGCCAGTGACAATGGCAGCCTGATCCTGCCCTCAGACACCCACTTCTACCACTTTCGTTGGATCCACATGCCGCTGCTGCTCACTGGGAAGACTGATGAGGCTCTCAGCTCTACCATCCGAGCCGTGGGGAATGTGCCCGGGGACTTCCCGGTGTCCGTCTGGGTCACTGCCGCTAACTGCTGGATGTGCCGACCTGTGGCCAGGAGCTTTCTTGTCCTCCCCATTACAGGTGAGGACCTTTCCCTTTTGCTCATTTGCTTCAGACTCATGGCGCACAGAACTTCTAGCCTGGATAGTAATCGCATAAATGCAAATTAGACACATGGTTCCTTTTCTGGGGTCAAGTTAACAAAGGATCAGAAAAATGGTAATACCCACAGCTGGCAGGCTTGTTCTGAAATGTGCATTTTAAGCATATTATAAATACTGGGGCTAGAAATACATCCTTGGAGAACAGGTGACATATGTGTCATTGGCTATAGATTAGTTTCGTCCTTGGCCCTTTACTTCTCTATCTCTCCTCCCTCCTTTTTCTCTCCCTGCTCCTCCCACCTTTTCCAATAATATCTTGCTCTTTTGGAGTTTGCAAATTAATCCTGAATTTATCTTGAGGTAATAAACTCCAACCCTTGGAAGACTCACCTCCCTTGGTCTCTCTCTCTCCCAGAGTTCCTGGTGGGGAAACTTGTGGTCACCCAGAACACCTCCCTGCCCTGGCCCAGCTCCTACCTCACCAAAACAGTTCTTAAAGTCTCCTTCCTCCTCCATGACCCGAGCAACTTCTTCAAGACTGCCTCGTTTCTCTACAGCTGGGACTTCGGGGATGGGTATGTTTTTCATACTCTCTTCATGCCCTAAATCCTTGGTTGTGGCTGGTGGCTCCATGTCAACTGCTCAGTGCTTTCCCACCTTCACTTGCTCTCTTGCTTGCTTCAAGCAGTCATTGAGTGCCTGCTGTGTCCCAGACTTGGGGTATATGGGGACATACAGCAGAGGAGATGGAGGTAGGTAGGACTGTTCTCCATCTGACTCTGGAGCTACTCAGCCACCTGATGGCAGGTGGCAGGCAGAGCTCAGGTGTCCTGACCTCCTTCTACCTTACTCTTCTCCATAAGCCAGGCTTGGGAAGGGAGAGTTGGCATAGAGCCCAGACAGCCCACAGGTTATGCAACAGTGGTGCTCGGAGCAGACCCCTCTCTCCACTTGGGTCCCCTGAGCCCCCTGATTGCTGCTCTCATGGCTGATTCTAGGAGCGCCAGCTGATTGAGGAGGGTGCATGTGAAAGATTACTGAGTCTTGAGAAACTGGTCTGTGAGCTCTGAGGTTCACGTAGTCTCTGGAAGCCCAAGAAACTTCTGATCAAAAGGAAGCCCAAAATTTGGAATACAGAAAAATATGGGATGGAGTGGGAAGGACTTGAGAGAAGTCTGTTGGGCCAGCCTCCTTGCTTTGGGAAGACCTGTTTGTCTCTCTTGCAGCAATCCCTAAACCCATAGCAGAAGGGAGCACTTCCTCCAGGTAGGGTGCGTGCGCGCACACACTCACATACACACGTGCAAATGTCACAGTCACCCTGATTGCAGGTAAGGAAGTGGAAGCTATGACGTAAGTAACTTCAGTATTGTCATGCTCCTCTGAAAAATGGGACTGGTAATATCTGATGAAGGGGGTGCATAGAATTGACATTCAAAGATAGGGCTGCTGGCTCCCAAGCCAGTGCTCCAACCACCAGACTCTGTTGCTTTTCCAAAACAGATGTCAGGAAAGCCATTGTTGGCTTCGATTCTAAAAGATTCAAGTAGACCCTTCCTGATGGTGCAGTGGGTTAAAGCACAGCACTGAGAAGCTAAAGCCTACTTCAGCATGAGTTCGATCCCTGCCCCAGGGGTGACCCACATGGCATGGCAGACCTCTCCTGACCCACCCACTGCTCCCCTCAGCAGTGTACTTCCTCAATCTACCTGTTCCGCTCCCCACTCTGTCTCTGGTGAAGCCTCTCACCACCCCTGCACCTCTGGCCTGTACCCCAGTTCTGTATGATAAATAAATATATCTTTAAAAAAAGATACAAATAACTTCAGAACAGAAGGCAACTCAGAGAATAGAATAGAGAATAAAGATACAAAACAAGTTTATATACATAGTTTGTACCTGCTAACAGAAGTATTTCTAGCCAGTCAGATAAAATATTTGGTAAGTGGTACTAAGGTAGTTGGTTAACTATCAGAGAGAAAAAAATCTGATCCCTCACAAAAGGAATTCCAGATTAAAAACTATTAAGCATAATGAACCAGGACTAGATTGAAATATAGATGGTTACCTGTACTTGGAAAGTTTAGCAACAGGGAAGACCTGTCTAATAATAAAAATAAAACTCAGAAATCATAAAGGAAAAAAAGGATGAATTTGCATTAGCAAATTTGAAATTTGAGCATGAAAATAGATCAAACCAAAAAAAAAGGTTAAACTGGGAAAAAACATTTGAAAGACATAGGACAGGTAAAGATTTGGTGAACTTCATATAAAAAGCATCGATATGAAAATTTTATAGACTTCCTTTTGAGGAAATCTGGCTGATTTATTGCAAAGAAAGATCATCATACTATGCACTTTACATGTTGTCTCATAACCCATGATGATTCTCTCCATTTTACAGATGAGAAAATAAGATTCAGGGTTAGGTAGATAGGAAATCTGGCCCCAGAGCACTTCCTGGCATGCAAGGGACCCTGTTTCTGGAGGTGTCCACCTGCCACTTACAGAGATGCCTGCAGTCACGTTCACCCAGAACAGCTGACCTTGAGCCCTGCCTGCCCTGCCCTGCTGCTGTGAGGACAGTTTTGCTTTTAGACATTGGCGGCAGGATCTGTCACTGCATTGCATGAGTCACTTCTGTCATTGTCCCCTTTCAGCACCCAGATGGTGACTACAGACCCTGTGGTTTATTATAACTATTCCATCGCTGGAACCTTCCCTGTGAAGCTGAAAGTGGTGGTGGAGTGGGAGCAGGCCAAGCCTGGTGGAGGCAAAGGCATCTTGCAGAAGACAGGAGACTTCTCCACCACCGTAAAGCTACAGGGTAGGTCTCTGGTTGGTGTTGCTTCTGTCAGTTGAACTTCTGGTCCCTTGGGGGAACCCTGGACACCACGGCTTCCAGGATTAGTGCATACACAGGTCAGATTATGCAGCACTCCAGTGGGGTGCTGACTTATGCTCAGAGGCACACCTGACTTGCCTTGCCCCCAGCAGCTCCCTGAACAGTGTCATTACACCTGCTTCCGAGAGCACCAAGGGGCAGCACTGGCATTTGAAACCAGACCTGCTTCCACCCAGAGCCTGTCTGACTAGGCGCTCTGTTGTGAACTGTGTCTGCTTTGCTCTGCCTTGCTCCACATCAGCCCCAGTTGGACAAGGACTATTCTATGCTGGGGAGACTTGTACACATTACACAGTTGGGAAAAACCAAACTTCCCCTTTGACCTTGGCACAGGGATGCTTGGGCAGCTGCAGACTTCAGGGTTGTGCTGTGACTCAGGCTAATAGATGGTGCTTTCCCCACGTGCAGAGGGGATGGGAGTAGGGAGGTTCTCCTCAGCCCCTGGTCCTGGAATCTGAGCCCTGCCTGCTGCCTCTGGCCTCTGAGTCGGCTTCAGTCTTCCCAGCACCTGCTGCTGACCAGGAGGACTCCAGCATGCTCCTGACACACCTTCTCCCTGTCTTTGGGCAGAGGGGACAGTCCAGTCCAGTTGCACAGGCCGGGCCCTGGAGCCCTGGGTTAGCTGTCCTCAGCAACCAGGTTTAATAGGGTCCTCTCTGCCTTCCAGAAACCCTTCAAGGCATCCAAGTCTTGGGGCCCACCTTAATTCAGACCTTCCAAAAGATGACAGTGACCTTGAACTTCCTGGGCAGGTGAGTGAACCTAAGTGTACTGTGGCCCTGCCCACACTTTCTCACAGACTCCTGAGCCTGCTGCCTCACCCGAAGCCCCCAGGTCTGGGCTCTGGCTAATGACCTGGCATGCAACAGCCCGGGGCACAGCTCTCCCTGGTGTCAAGTGGAGACACATGGGTCTTGGGGGCTGTTGGCAGCAAAGGCAGTTGAGGGACCACTCCTTTGAAAAGGCCTCTGGATGTGACTTGCTTCTAGCCCTCTGGAGAGCAAACTGTTTTGGCTAGGCCAGGCTGGCCGACGGGAATGGCATTAGGCTGAGTTTATAATCAACAGCAAGATGAGGAGACGCTGAGCTGGTTCTTCCACAGGAGTGGATGGAGCTGCAGAGTCAGCAGTCAGGACCCAGCCTCCCAGGACTGGTGACATGTCAGGGAGAATGAAGACGAGCCATGGGGTTGGGGTGGTTTTAGCGTTTTCAGGGGGCTTTGAGGGTAGGACCTGAGTACTTGAAGGAGGGGATGAGAAACCCCTTCGGCTTGACAGATGTGTTTGTTGAAGTAGCTTTGGTGTGTTTTACATGGGCAAGGGAGAGTACTTGTCTGGTGTTCCTGAGATGGATCTGTGTTTTCCAACTTTGGTATCTGTGTTGTGGTGGGCAGATAATTTGTAATCCCCTCACCCCTTTCAAATTGGTCAAAAAATCTACTCAAATGCCACCTCCTCCAGGAAGACTTCTCTGATTTCCTCAATAAAAATGCATTAACCTGTCCTCTGTGCTCCCACAAGTGTCTGCATGTTTGCCTTCTGGCCTGCAACCCTCTTAGGACCCAGGGGCATCTCATATGTACCATCGTGTTCCCCAGACTAGAAGATATAAAGTAGAGGCAGGCCATCTGGTGTCCCTTGGAGGGAGACTGACGTGCAAGGCTACCCAGTCTCTCTCAGACTTGGTCATGTCAGAGACAGGTCTGAAAAATGACCCTCTCTTCCTTACAGCCCTCCTCTGACCATGTGCTGGCGACTCAAGCCCGAGTGCCTCCCACTGGAGGAAGGGGAATGCCACTCAGTGTCTGTGGCCAACACCGCCTACAACCTGACCCACATCTTCAGGGACCCGGGGGACTACTGCTTCAGCATCCGGGCTGAGAATGCCATCAGCAAGACGCATCAGTACCACAGGATCCAGGTGTGGCCCTCCAGTAAGTGACACCTTGCTTTCTGCTCCAGTGCCACCCTGCAGCAAAAGCCAGTCAAGTCAACCGCTACACAAGGTGCTGCAACCAGTCAGCTCTCCCCGTGCCATCAACAACCAACCCCAAAGAACTAACACTGTCAGTAACCCTCCTGCCCCCCACACCATTGACCAACTGCCCATACCACCACCACCAAACTTGACCAGTACCTTCAAAATCATCTCTGCCACCCCAATACCAATGTCCACCTTGGTGCAAGCTGGTCTTTCAACTCCAGCACCACTAGCGATAGGAACAACAGCCAGTTCAGCCACCACCATTGAACTTGGCTGACCCTAAGGCCACACGCATCATCTGACAGTTCTTTCAGCACCATTCACAGCCAGCAGCCAGCTCTGTGTTATACCACCTGTAGGACCGCTGCCAAACACCCAGACCAAGGCTATCACGGCTGACCTGCCCCGGCCTCACCTAAAAGCAGTTCTCACTGCCCACTGCCATCATTGATATTGGTGTCTCTCCTACGTGTTACAACGTGATCTTTACCCCCAACACCACACCCCCTCTTTCACCATGATGGTCCCCACTCTGATGTGGCCTCCTTCATGCTGCCATTGGTACCACCAAAACCAGTATCCTCAACACTGACTGTATGCCTTTTAGGGCTGTTGTTCTCCAGGAGTGTGGACTGTTTGATGATGAGACAGGATTTCTCATTCGTAAGGACACTGAGCCTTCTCCAAATCATCATCAGGTCCAGCCACAGGGTTAACTGATGATGACAATAGGCTCTACCCTTCACTTGTGGGGGGTCTTCTTCTGGGAGCCCAGAGAAGTTCTCCCTTGTGTTGAATAGAAAGTCAGACCCCAGAACCTAGGGGAGAGTCTCTCAGCTGTGCAGCCCAGTCCACCCTTTATGGTACAAAGGGGAACACCTGCTGGCTGTACTTGTCCTTCCATGGCCCTGTAAGCCATCCACTGTCTCTGTCCCCAGCCCCGTCACTGTCCCTGGCAGCTTCTCCATCCCCTCTGAGCCCCAGAGCAGACAGTGCCCTGGTTGCCCTTGTGGGTTAGGAAGAATCTCTGGCCGGTGGGCATTCCTGGGGATGCTGGATCCTGGCCCCCCAGCAGAGTGCCTGGAAATGCTCTTGACTCTGCCAAGACAATGCCCAAGGTAAGCAATGCTGCGTTTTCTCGGGAGGCACGTCCTCCTGGTAGGAGGGGTCCGTGTCAGGAAGGGGGTGAGGGGAGAGTGAGAAGGAGCCCTCACCTGACCACTGCACTGGGCTCAGTGACTTGCTTCACTTTGTCGCACCCCCATGTCAGCCTCTTGGGGTAGCATTAGTACTTGGCAACCTGGTCAGAATCAGGATTCAAACCCAGAACTGCCTAACTCTGACACTGGTCCCCTCCTGCTCCCCCACATGGCTTCCTGACAACATGATTGGTGAGTGAGGGCAGAAAGCTGTGACAGCAGCCACTAGGCTTCCTGGGTGTCCTCACAGCATGACTCTGTCCCAATCCCCTCAAAAATCACTCAGAAGAGGAGGAGGGAGCTGTGATGTCATCTGTGATCAAGACTCAGAGAAGGAAAGTAACTCCTGTCATGCGCTGGTCACTGGGAGCAAGTCACTCAGTCCAGACACACTCAGGAGGGCGGTGGTCAGGGAAACAGTAGCAACTCTTGAAAGCCGCTGTGGGCTTATATTAAAACCCTCAACCCCAACTTTATTTTCCTGAACTAAGATGAGGTGTTGCCCATTGGTTGCACGACACTCTGTGTGGGCTCGACTAGCGCTTTGCACCAGCCTCCTGGGCCACAGTATCCCTCTCCGCCCCCAGGCCTCCAGCCAGCTGTGTTTGCCTTCCCCTGCGCCACGCTCATCACCATGATGCTGGCCTTCCTCCTGTACATGGGCATGCGGAACAGCTCCCAGCAGAAGGACATGGTGGAGGTGGGTGCTCAGGCCGGCAGGCCAGACAGGAGAGGGGCTCTGGGGGGCATGGGGCCAGGTCACAGGACCCAGAGAGGGTCCGCCTGGAAGTGAAAGCAAGGCCCTAGGGCTGGGGGCCATGTGTCCAAGGTGCATTTGTAGACCGGGCCAGACCGTTGAGTTGGCTTCTTCCTGGCCCGACTCACCTGCTCCAGGGCTCGCCCATGAGCTGGCCTGGGGAGATCATCTGGGAGAGACCCAGAAAGTGGAAAAAGCAAAGGCACACCGAAGCTGTGTGGCTTCAGGGGGTGTTTCTGTGCTCGCTGCTGCCAGACTGCTGAGCACCTGAGGCCACCTGAGGGGACTCTGGGCGGGCAGGCGGGTGATTGACCCCTGGGGTTTTGTTCACTGTAGGTGGCTGATTTTGACTTTTCCCCCATGTCTGACAAGAACCCGGAGCCGTCCTCTGGACCCAGGTGCTGCTGCCAGGTGTGCTGTGGGCCCTTTGTGTTGGAGTCTCCATCCGAGTACCTGGAAGTCGTCCGAGAGAACCAGGGCCTGCTCCCGCCCCTCTACAAGTCCGTCAAAATGTACACGGTGTGAGCACCCCCACCCCACTCAGTGGTAACGGACTGTTGACTCGGCACTTCTGGTGGGTGGAGTTGGAGGGGTCCACAGCATGGGGCCCCTTGCCCTGGCCATCCATGTATCTGTATAGTCCTGCTGCCACTCCTAGCCACTTCAGTTACACCTTCTAGCCATCGTCATCTGTCCTGTCCAGCCACTGCTGTGAGCCCTTCCCTATCAGCCCCAGCCCACCCCTCTCCTTTGTAGAGGCCCCAAGTAGGACTCCCTTGGCCCCTGCCCGCCCACCCGTCTGTTCTCCCCAGGTTTACCCTCCATTGGGTTTCGAGCTCCCCTCCCCCGGGCAGCCCTGTGAGGCCAGACTCAGGGGAGTCCCAAGTGGCTCAGGACGCATCCTGAGGGCGCACGTGAGAGGACCAGTGTGCATGCACCTTTGCACACAGCAGCACCTGTGTGTCCCGGGTCTCTTGCTCGGCTTCTCTGCTTCCTGAAGAAGCTGCTGGGACATACCCGAGTTTGAACCAGAATGAAACCTGATCTCCACTTGGCTCCCCCAGCTTCTGGTCCTGGCTCCTCACCCCCACGGCCACCTGGCTCCCTTCTAAGGACATCCTATTCCCTGCCCACTTGCCGGAGACTGGGTGGGGCCAGGGTTGACACTTTGTGAGAACCAGGTGCTTTATAAATAGGAACTTTTATTGAGATGATGTTAAACTGAGCTGAGAAAAACACCTGGCAGATAAGAGTCAAGCTGGGGGGGGGGGCTGTATTTTGTCACCCAGTTGCTCTCAGGGGTTTTGAGAATGAAGCAGGTGTGGACAAGATATGGACAAGAAGGGGGTAAAAAGGAGAAGCAGGTCCGCTCCCCTCTGATCCAGGCACCTTGGAGTGGGGAGTGGGGCTTGTGGAGAGAGGGGGTAATGGGTGCAGCAAGAGGCCATAATCTGGGCCCCATCCAACCATAGAGGGATGCCAGGAGCAACCCAGGCCTGTCTGGAAAGGGAGTGGAGGAGGGTGGGGGCTCTGTTGCTGTCATCTTTGCTCTCAGGCTTTGTGCTGAAATCAGGCCCATCCTCACGCACCGCCGTCATTGTAGCCAAATAAAGCTCATGTACTCTGAATATAGCCAAGCACGTGTGGTGGTGGAGTCTGCTTCTTTGCCATGTGTGGATGTGTGAGCCTCGCAGTAGCCAGAGCAGATCTCAGGCCCAGCAGGTGTCTGATTCTTGTTCTCTGCCTGGTGGACTGTGTGCAGCCTGGGCTTGTGGGCCTGGGTGCACTGTGGTCCTCACGCTGCTGCTCAGGCTGTGTTGCTGATGGCTCAGCGGATCGGCCACCGAGGGGTCCTCGCAGTGGGTCAGGTGTTCCCACGTGACTCATTTTTGAGCCCTCAGGGGAGACTCATCCGGAGCGGGAGGCCACCCCCGAAACTTCTTGGAAATGCAGACCTGTGGCCCCACTCACACCTGAAGCAGCACGCAGGCAGGGGCCGCCAAGCCCCAGGCGCTCTGACCCCACTGTGTGACGACCTCTGGTCTCCAGCAGGATTTCTTGAATGTTGACTCACATGAAAATTGCCAGGAGTCTTCATTCAGGAGGTGTGGAGTGGGGCCTGGGATCACAGACCTCTAATAGGTGCTGCTGGTTGAAGCGTCACACCTTGATTAGGGAACTCCAAGCCCGCACCCTCCCTAAGCTCTGCTTCTTCTGGAAGAGGTTTGGGATCTCTTTCTTCATCACCTCTGCTCTCCTCTCACCACCCACTCAGGAGATGGACCTCAAGCTGGACCTGGGTGGGAAAGGACCCACCCCACCTCTGCTATACCACCCAGGGGAGCCCCGCTTTGATGAGTCCAGTCCTCTAGAAAACGTTCCTGGACTTCAGTGTTAGTAGCACGTGGTTCACGTGCTTCACGTGTGTCCATGTGGTCTCCTCGTGGATCCCAACCTCTTCTCATAAAGTCACCAGACACCTGGTTGGAACCCACCCTGTGGCCTCATTCACCTTAATCGCCTGTTTAAAGGTCCTCTCTTTACTTATGCACATGTTGAGGTGCTGGGAGTTTGGACACTCATACATGAATTTTGGCAAGACACAGTTTGACCTGTCTCACCCTGAAGTTAGACCAATGGCTTCGAGAACTGGGCGAGAGCAGATTTCTGGGGTTTCAGCAGCCTAGTTGTGCTATCTGTTTCCACAGCCCCACAAACAATACACTGCCCACGTCCCTTTCAGTAGCTGTCTCTCACATTCCATGCTCACCCAACAGGAATGCCTTCCAAACAGATCCAGAATCCAATTTTGTCCACCCATCATTGCCCTCCCACCTGAGGTTTCCTCTTTGCCCTCACCTGCTCCAATTCCATTCCCAGAACCATTCCGAGACCACGTCCTTGTATACCCACAGTTCCCGGACTCCCTGTTCAGCTCTTCCAGCGGCCCCAAAGGCTGCTTGGGACCTGCTGTTCTTACCCTTCCTGCCCTCAAGGACTGGGCTCCTGCTGGACACTCTTCCCTGGATGCCAGGCTTCCTTGCCTTTTTCAAACTCACCTTCGAAGTGAGGTCCAAGCCAGAGTCCCGCCTCCTGCGCCCTTTGTCCCCACAGCAGCGTTATGGCTTCTGACACACTATTTGCTTCACGGATTATCTGTCTCACCATAAAACAAAACCGCAAGAAGGAAGGGCCATTGTCTACTGCGTTCACTGTTTCTTTTTCCAGCCCCAAGAAAAGTGCTATGTTACTGAAGAAGGGATGAAGGAAGGAAAATGTTCCTTCTCCATCCTTCCTTTATGATTTCACAGCACCTGGGGGTTAGGAAAGGCAAGAGAAGTTTCCAAGGAAACGACTCGTTTTCCCAGATGGTCCAGAAACTGCTTGATCAGGACAAATGGCCCGGAGCCTTGGTTTGGGCTGTGGGCTAATTAATGTCCATTATCTGGGGAAGTGGGTGTCCTTCTCCCAGAGAACTGGAGCTGTGTGACATGTCCAATGTGACATGTGACAGCACTTCAGAAGTAGTTCTGATACGTGCCCATCATCAGAGCCATCGGGCTGGCTTCTGAGGGCGATGCCTTGCTCTGTGATGAGGGTGTGGCAGGGCAGAGGGGGCATCTGGGCAGGGGTCAGCAGCTGGCTGAGGGCTGAGGAGGGACTGGGGCCATCCTGTATGGCCTGAGCCTGGAGCTCTTAACCTGGGATGCCTGGCTCCCAGGGGATCCGTGGAGTGAGTTGTGTACTTGGGTGGGAGACATTGTATCTTCATTGTTGCAAACTCTTAACCAAATTGTAGCATTTCCTCCCTCTGTAAATATAGGCAAATCCCAGTAGGGTTGTTAGCTCCTGTGAATTCACCATCAGTAGAAGCCAGGCATTTTTCAAATCATGTTCCAAATGTTGTGGGTTTCTCAAAATTTCATCCATGCTGATGGTGTCTTTAACATGACAGCTATTAGATTGGCGTTGGATCTGTTTCTCTTAAGCACACATGGTTACAATCATTCTTTCGCTAATTGTATTTCAGCGTTGATTACCTTTGCAATCTTGGTATTCCATATCACACTTCGAAAAACATTACTCCGGGAGGAGGGCTTGAGTTGACTGGAGAGGATAGCCCGCCAGGAAGGCTGTGAGGTCCCTGTGGTTGTTATCCAGAGAGGTCCACAGGGACGTGGGGGGGTTGGGGTGTAACTTTCCTCAGGCCAGAGGAAAGGATCTTACCTGAGATCCTACAGGTTGCTGTTTTGGTCTCTAACCCAGGAGATTTGGGCCTTTGCTCTGAGTGTCTGCCTGCTATGCCCAGTATGACCAGCAGGTGACGGCCCTGTCCAGTCTTGCTTCCTGCTGCCTCCTGCCCACTCTTGGCCCTTGAGCAGCCCAGGGGAGAGGGTACACAGATGGCACAGGCCCTGGAAGCTGTGCACTTGCAGATATGCACACACCTGTGCATACAGCTGCACAATACATGCAAGCTCTACTCACACAGGAACAGCCTACAAGGAGTCAACTTCCAGAACTCAGCCCTTCTAGGGCAGAAAACATTCTTGTCTTTGGAATGTCTTTTCAGAATCATTTTGTTCTGCTTCATCTTTTCCTTCCCTAGTGGCCTCTCTGAAGGATGTTCAGGTCAGCCTAAGCTGACAATCCCAGGCACAAGAATAATCTAATTGCAGCTCAGGCAGGGACTAGGGTAGAGAAGAGGAGATCGATGGTCTTCTCTGGCTCCCAGACCATGGGCAGAAAACTGTGTCTGACTTTTAGTTTCTTTGGGTTTCACAAGTTGTTTTATAAAGAGTAAGTTTTATGACCAACATCCAGAAGACAACCAACTCAATTACAAAGTGGGCAAAGGATTTAAATGCACATTTCTTCAAGGAAGCTATGCAAGTAAACAGTAGGCAACAAAAGATTCTCAACATCAAAACTACAATGAGATACCACGTCATGTCCACCTGGGTAGCTCCAATAACAAGCACCATAAATGGAAAATAGCAAGTGCTTGCAAAGTTGTGGAGAAATAGGAGCCCTTGTTCCTATTTCTTATATGTGGCTGATGTAAATGCAAAGAGGAAAGCAATTTGGCAGGTCCTTAAAAAGTTGAATATAGATTTGTTGAAGGGTCTAGAAATTTCACCCCTAGATGCAGATGCTAAAGAACTGAAAACACATACTCAAACACGTCGGCAGGTGATGGTAGCATGGTTCATGGTAGCCAAAGTAAAGTTCTGAATAGGACAAGCACGATGCTGAGTGTGTGGGACCCACTCATATGGGTGAAAGATGAATTCAGTTGTTCCCAGCACAGGTGTGGAGAGACATTCACTTTTGCCGTGATGGAGAGCATGTTGGGCACATTTCAAAGTCATGAGAGAACATGGGTTAGTTAACATTTTGGACACTGTGGTCAGCAAATAGCCCTGGATGCTGAGACCTTGTCAAAGGTGACACCCGCTTCGCTTGGCTTTTTCTTACAGCCACAGGGATCCGGGTGTGCTCCCAGGAACGGACAGCAGGGGGCGCAGTAGCGCTGCTGAGAGGCGGCCAAGCGCGGACAGCGCGGAAGTGGAGACTTCCGTTTAAGCTACTTGCCTGCGCCCACCGCTGGGGTTTCCAGCTGCCCTGGAGGCCAGGTTCCCACACCAGGCCCCTAGTGAGAATTTGACAGGGTCTGCCATTCATGGCTTAGTCCTGGAAGAAAGGCTCCTGGAGGGTTGGGCACGTGTTGCACAGGGCCTCAAAGCAGAACACAAACCTCTGGCCACAGACAGGCTGGATCTGCTCCCTCTGCCTGTCAGACCCCCCCCCGAGGGTGCCCCAATGAACTCCAGCACCTGGTCCAAATTTACAGGGCACTCCAGTGTGAACTGGGCTGCCTGTCTGTGCGGCCTCACATGTGAGCTTAAAATTAAGTTGTACTGCAGGCACACACAAAAGTGTCAAAATGGGCCCTCCCTGGTGGCGCAGCGGGTTAAAGCACAGCACTAAGCTAAAGCCACTTCCGCATGAGTTCCAATTCCGCCTGCCAGGGAGGAGACCACATGGCACGGCAGACCTCTCCTGACCCGCCCGCTGCTCCCCTCAGCAGTGTACCTCGGACGATCTGCCTGTCCTGCTCCCCACTCTGTCTCTGGTGAGTCCTCTCGCCCCCCTGCACCTCTGACCTGTATTCCAGTTCTGGATGCATAAATAAATAAATCTTTTTTTTTTTAAAGGGTCAAAATGGGTTTATTTACAAAAGGGGAAAAGAAGAGGAAACAACAACTGGAATACTTACTGGCTCCGCAGACTTGGAGCTCTGGTAACAAACAAACTGAAAACCCTGGCTCATGTGGTGGGAAGAGCTGTTTCCTGAAGGAGAGAGCAAGAGACCCAATGGCTCCCTATTTATCCCCCAGTGTCCCAGAATGCCTGCTTAGCTCCGCCCTTTGGTCCTCGCAGTTCTCTCCCTGGTACTGCTGGGAGTTGTAGTTTCCAATCACTGGAGTAGGGGGTGGAGTCCAGAAAGCTGGAGTAGGGGGTGGAGTCCACAAGACTCTGCAGAGCACCTTTAGGACATCCTTCCCCTTAACACAAACTTTTCATTTGGCATTCAAGCTACTCCAGCTGACAGCTCCAGCCTCGGTCACCGTCC